TGCAGTTTCTCCCTCTCGGAGAGGCCAGCAAGCTACCGAAGAGTCTCCTGCCTGCACAGCAGAGCCTGGCAAGCTCCCTGTAACGTATTCGATATGCCAAACACAGTAACAATAACGGGTCTCATTCTCCTCACCCTGAAAGAGCCCCAAATACGCCACTGGGCTACGCTAGCACACACCAGGGACGAATGGAGACATTACTGGCGCCTGCTCGAGCAAATCGATGAACAATGGGGGGACAGTGACAGTGATATATATATATATATAGCACAGTGCCAAGGCACTTGCCTTGCATGCAAGGCCCTAGGACACCTAGCCCAGGCCTCCCGTGGCCTCCCTCCCTGGGCAGGGTCTCCTTCACAGAGGCTGTCCTCTCAGCTGACCCCAGTGCCCAGCACCAGCAGCTGGAGCAGAGGGTGGGGCGCAGGGCAGAGAGGGGGGCAGTTACTCACCTTGGGTCTGGCTTTATTTTGCTCATTGTCACATCCTTAACACTGGAGCACAGGACCTTATTCATTTTCTTTTTTCCTGGCTCTGCACTCAGGAGTTACTCCTGGCGGCGCTTGGGATGCCGGGGATCGAACTCGGGTCAGCCATGTGCAAGGCAAACTCTCTCCCCGCTGTGCTATTGCTCCAGCCCCACAGAACCTTATTTCTAAAAGTTTTTTTTTAATTTTTAAAAAAAAGTTTTGGACCACACCTGGCTATGCTCTGAGCTGACTCCTGGCTCTGTGCTCAGGGGTGACCCCCAGAGGGGCTGAGAGACCCTGTGGAAGGTCGGAGATGTGGACCTGGGGTCAGCCACGGACAGGGCAGAGGCCTCCCTGCTGGCCTCTCGCTGGTCCAGAGCTTTGACTTAGCGAAGACCAGAGTGTGGAAACCTCCCAGCAGCTGCCTTGATCATCACTGAAAGACGAAGCCTCAGTTTCCCCTTGCCAGGGAGAAAATGAGCATCCTCTCCCCAGATGTTCCATCTCCCCTCATCGACCTGACACATTCCACGCCCAAGGTTCTGTCTCAGCATTTCGGGGCCTTCCCAGGAACATAAAACTCTGCCCGGGACCCTCGACTGACGGGAAACGGCGGAAACAGACAGTCCTGGATTCCGGCTGACAGGAAACAGCGGTCACTGGCAGTTAGGCCTGGAGGATCGGTTTCCCTGGCCAGTGAGGAGGAAGCCCTTCCCTCGCCGACGTGACACATTTCACTCCCAAAGTCCTGCCCCAGCGGCCACAGAAATTTCCAGGACCATAAACCTCCATCCCGGAGCCTCGGCTGACAGGGAGACTGAGATAAGGGGCAACTTGCCCCAAGAGATCTAGACCAGCCGGACACCACTGTCACTTCCTGGCACCTTCTGTAAACACTTGCCAACCTACGATGAGGAATGCCAGGAGCCCGTAGAGGCCTGCGCGAAACTCCCTTTAACTCAGTCCTATACTCAAGAGTCTGAGCCCCTTTATCATTCAATATTTGCATTCTTCTTTATTTTGCTTTTTGGGTTACACCCGGTGATGCTCAGGGGTCACTCCTGGCGGTGCTCGCGGGTCCCTACGGGATGCTGGGAATCAAACCCAGGTCAGCTGCGTGCAAGGCAAAAGCCCTCCCTGCTGTGCTATCGCTCCAGTCCCAACATTTTCATTCTTGAACCCAGGAATTGTGAGGGAACAGAGACCAGCGGCCGCCGTTTCAGCATAACCAGCATCATGATGGATGTGTGTGCAGAGTGTGGAGATGAGCCCTGGACACAGAACTTCCAGTGTGGAAAGCCCCCGACCCCCCACGTCTTGTTCCACCTGATGGGGACCACTGGGGCAGTTGTCGGAAGATGAAGGGACACCTGAGTTTAGGGGCAGGGGGGCAGGACGCTCAGGCCTTGGCCGAGGCTTCATGTCGCTATTCTGGGTGCAGGGGTCCGGGACCCGTGCTCGGGGGAGTACCCAGGAGCTGAGGTCCCAGGGGTGAGGGTGGGTGAGGGGAAGAGATGGGACCCCCCCCTTCCGAAACTCAACAGAGACACACCCACCAAGGTTTGGTTCTTGAATGTGTATTTTTTACTGAAAAAATCATCCATAAATTAACATACATACAAAAATGTACAAACACATGAGTAAATAAAGATGTGACAAAGACTGTTCATGAAAAGTTTTTTTTCCCACACATCTTCAGATTTCAGTGCAAAAATGGACCCCTGGCACCTCTTCTCACAGAAGAATGAGCTACAAAGATGATAAAACAAAAACTGAAGCAAAACCAGTCTCAAAGGACGGCGAGACAAGCAGCCAGTGAGCCCCCCAGGGGTCAGCGAGGGAGCCCCAGGACCCTCGAGCCCCCGAGGTCACAGCTGGGGCAGAGCTCTGACAAGAGACTCTGGGACGTCAACAATGAGTCTTTTCCCAGAGAACCGCAGCCCCCAGCAAGGCTGCGTGGGGGAGAAACGGGACCCCACAAGAGCTGGGCAGGGCGCCCTGGCCTGGTCAGCAGTGGCTGGCCGGGAAGAGACCGGCTCCCCAGTGCCGCCAGGGGACACAACAGCCAGTTCCTGTTCAGAGAGTCCACGCTGGTGGGGGCCGGGGACACAGCACAGTGGACAGGGCACCTGTCTTGCAGCCCAGACTCAACCTCGGCACCCCACGTGGTCCCCTGAGCCCGCCAGGAGTAACCCCTGAGCACAGTGGGGTATGCCTGCTCCACCCCCCAAAAAAAGCAAAACTTCATGCTAAAAAAAAAACAAAAAAAAGAAAAAAAAAAGGAAAAGAACATGTGTGACTGCAAGAGAGTTTGCAACCCTGCGTCTTTCAAGCACAGAGAAGAGACAGACCATCTCTTCTGCCCTCAAATCAACCCAAAAAAAAGAAGATTAAAGAAAAATTCAAGTGGGAGCCTTTTGCCAACATTTTGGTTCTGATTGGAAATATGTTAATGAAAAGCTTTAATCAAGATCATTCTACGACAGATCAGGGGAAAACGCCGCATCGTCAGCCAACGGCCGGCCTGTCTGGCCAATCCGCCCAAAGGAGACCGTGATTTCGGTCACACCGGAAGTGGACCCTGGCCTGCCGTGGGCAGAGGACAATGAGACGAGGCAGAGCGGACCAGGCGAAGAGGCAGGGCGCTCCAGGGGCAAGAAAGAAATCTTTATTGCTCGATGCATCGCACAGCAAAGAAAAACCTGACCCCGGGCGCGTGGTGTGCGCTTGTGAAGGCTCCGCGTACGTTCTGTCCAAACTCGTGACACAACGGCCAGCACGGCTCCAGGGCGGGGCCGCCCTCTCATGGTGCTGGGAAGAGCTTCAGTCGGTTTATTTCCTCAAGAATGACTCTAATCAGAAGATCATACAAAAAAAAGAGAGACACAAACAGCAAGCAAGGCCTGGTCAATCACGCCCACGGCACGTGGGGATCATATGTCCACGGAACCGACGTTTTGCAACAGAGAACACCCCCACCCACGCGTATGTACACAAACACGACCCCCACCCCCCGCCACACACACACACACACACACACATCCATGTAAACCATGAAAATCAAGAAGGCCAAAGGCAAACGAGGCAATTAAAAAAAAAAACCAACAAAACGATCGAGCGCGTTTCCCGGCGAACTCCTGGAGATCGGCTCCTTGGAACCCCGCAGACGTCACCGGGGAGGGGGGGAGGGGGGGCCCTTCCCCAGCGCCGCAGGACGTGGCTCAGGGAGAAACAGAGGCACGGTGCTGAGTCGGCACCTTGGCGAGCACGTGGGGGGGGCGGCCAGAGCCGACTGTCCCCGCTGACTCAGACGGCAGGTCCCCGCGGCCTCGCTGAACTCTTCCGGATTCTGCTGCGCACGTGTCCCGTGAATCCAAAGTCACCGAATCCCAACAGCAGGAGACTCGGGGCGGGCGGGGGGGGGGGGGGGGGGTGTCACAGAACCTCGCTGGTGGTTTTAGGCACAAGATTTCAGACACTGTGGCCGAGTCCGGTGAGAGCAGAGGACAGAGAGAGAGAGAGAGAGAGGGAGAGAGAGAGAGAGAGCAGGAAAGAGGACACCAGCCCCGCCCCATTCCCAGGACGGAGACTCTGGACCCGGGGAGGACCCCGCAGGCAGAGGATCCGGCGGCCCCCAAGAACTGCCTCCTCCGAGAGCAAGATTTGGCAGCTGTGGCGGGCAGGGGCGGCGCCACAGGCTGGGCACACAGTGTCCCCCCGAGCACCAGCGGGGATGACTCCAAGCACAGACAGGGAGTCACCCCCAAGCACCGCCAGGCATGACCCCCAAAACGGGGGTGGGGGGATGGGGGTGGGGAAAATGCCTCCAGGAACCAAGGCGGGAAGAGCAGTCTGAGCAGAAACCCAGAGGGATGAGGGTGGGGGCCAGGGAGGGGGGGAGGCAGGACGGGCACCCCGGGAGGCCCCCTTCACCCCCCCATGCCCAAAGGGATCATCCCTTTGGGCCCCAGACTCCGCGTGGCCATGTTCTAAACCCAGTAAGCGACCAAACGTACAAAGCCTCGGTTGGAAACGGAGCCGGCTACAAAAAAATCAAGTTCTTTAAAAAAAAAAAAAGGCGTTTTACATGGCTTCTGTACAATTATACTTCTTCAAGAAGTGACTGTTAGGGTCTAGTTTCTCTTTCCCGGCCCCACCCACGCCCCCAGCCCCTCCACCCCCACCCAAAGCAGGAGCGTTAAAAAAGGAGAGTCAGAGAGAGAGAGAGGAGGGGAGACGGGAACAGGGCGAGTCCTGGACGTGGAGTTGCCCGGACACTTCGTGGGTCCCTCCTGTCACTTGTGATCTGCCTCCTGGTTCCGAGGCCCAGAGGCTCCGAAGCTCCTTGGTGGGTGCGAGGGGGGCTCGCGCCGGGCCGGGCAGATCTCGGGCCCCCTTCCGGAGGTGGGGGACGAGGAGAGGCGCTGGGCAGGAGGTGGGGGCAGCAGCAAGGCAGGCGCGGCCTGGTGGGAGTGGGCAGCCCCGGGCCGAGCACCTGGACAGTCGAGGCCGCGCCTCCGGGAAGGTGCGTGGCGTGTCCTGCTGGCGTCCTTCGGGGTCGCCTCGTCTCTCCCGTGCCCCGGGGCAGGGGACGCGTCCTCGGGCGGCCGGGCCGTCGTCTCTGGCTCAGTAGTCGCCCACCTGCGCCAGCTCGGGGGTCAGGTTGACGGTGATGTTCTTGTACAAGGCGTCGTAGGTGACGTTGGCCAGGTAGTTGAGGTTGCTGAGGCCGTCCAGGCCCTGCCGCTCCCTGGACTTCCGCAGCAGCGCGTACCTGTGCCCGGGGGTGGGGGGACGGACACTCAGTGTGGGGAGGGGCCCCTGGACACTCGGTCCACTTCCTCCAGGCTTGCAATGCCAGACGGGTGTTGATTAAACCACAACCGAGGCCCACTGGGCTGTCACTGCGGGCAGAGATCCACACTTGGGTCCCCAGGCACCCCTGGGTGGCCTCCTTCCAACGCCAACCTGCCCCCGACTCATGACCAGACCAAACCGAGGACAGTGAGTGCGCTGTGGGGAAGGAGGACTGGGGCCAGGGCCAGGGCCGGGAAGGAAAGTCGCCGTGGCAGCAGGCTGATGGGACGCCAGCCGTGACCCCAGGGCAGGGCAGGCCCTGGCCATCCCCGTCGCCCCCAGTCCACTCCATAGGCACCAGGGACCCTCAGGTGCCTGCCCCCAGACGCTCCGGGAAGAGAGGTGGCAAGGAGGAGCAGGACGGAACCTTCCAGAACCTGAGCCCGCGGAGGCTGGCCCCATGGGGACATCCCCTCACTTGCCCGTGGACAGAGCGGGCCAGGCCAGGCCGGTGATGCCCAGGCCGAGGACTGGCCTTCAGAACTCTTAATCTAGGTCAGAGTAAGCTCAGGGCTGGGCCGCCCACTCCCCAGAGTCACGGAAAAGGCCTCCGGTCTGGGCATCCCCGACGTCACCCAAAAACCAAAACCACAAAAAAATTTTCATTTTTCCCTTTTTCACTCTTCCTATCATAAGTTTCCGCCCCCCCCCCCCCCAAGCATTTTCCACCCCAGGGGAGGAAGTCACGTGCAGCACCAACCTGCCCAGGAACTGGACCTCTCCTCGATGGTGGTGAGGGATGGACTTGTACTTGCCCGTGTCCCCTTCCGGCCGGCTCACGGTGTAACCTGCATTCTGTACCCTGCATCGCAGGGAGGAAGAGGGTCTCGGGTCAGACCAGCAGCCCCTGGGACCCTACACGCACACACGCATGCACGCGTGCACACACACTCACACACACACGAATAGACATGCACATATACACAAGCACACACACCCATGGGGCTGCAAGCAGCACGGGGCCCATGCTCCCAACTTTCAGGCTCACCCAGAGGTACCAGCGTCATAGGAAGTGACCCGGGGTCCCTGAGCCCTGCAGGGGTGCCCCTGCCCCCCCCCCCATGGCACTGCCTATAAGCAGAGAGGAGGGGGAGATGTGTGCCTGGGTCCTTAGGTCCTTAGGAAGGAGCTGCTGATGGAACAACGCCTCTGTGGGCGGGTCACATGCTCTGTCTGTGGGAGTGTGACCAGCAACAGCCCCTGGGCACTGGCAGGGCGTGGCCCCAAAACCAAGAAAAAAAAGCCACTTCCTGGCAGTGGGGATTCCATCACAGTGCAGGGGCCGCAGGAGGGCCTGTATGCGGGAGGTGTGGGCGCCTCATCACCGAGCCGGGATGTGGACCCCAGCCCCAACTAGCAGACCTGCCCGCTGATTTCCATATTTTTGATCAAATGGTTTTTCGGTTGTCGTTGTTTTTGTCTGGGGCCACACCCAGCGATGCTCAGGGCTGACTCCTGGCTCTGCTTCCTGGCGGTGCTCGGGGAACCATCTAGGCTGCCAGGGTTTACTGTGTGTGATGCAAACGCCCAACCCGCTATACTATCTTGCTCTGGCCTCCAACTGATTTTTATTTTTTGGCTTTTGGGTCACACCCGGCGATGCTCAGGGGTTACTCCTGGTTCTGCACTCAGGAGTTACTCCTGGTGGTGCTCAGGGGACCATATGGGATGCTGGGAATCAAACCCGGGTCAGCCGCGTGCAAGGCAAACGCCCTACCCGCTGTGCTATCTCTCCAGCCCCCCGACTGATTTTTTTTTTAAAAAAACCAGATGAACAATTGTAATTTGTCCTAATTAACAACAAATGCTCACTTTTTTCTTGTTTTCAACTCAGAAAGTAAACAGAAGGTGAAAATCCTTCCGCTATAGTGACTTCCTCACCGGTCATCACTGACTCATTCTGTAAAACTATTACTTTGCTCTGTGGGTACAGATCACTAATACTCGACTCTTGGTTTCCGCAGGTTTTAATGACATATGCAATGAGTACGCAACACACAGATTTCAAAGCCTTCACTTAAAAAGGAAAGAGAAAAGATCTCACGAACATTTCACATCGATCACTTGAAAATTGTAATATTCTGGCTATGGTGATAAATTAATATGTTAACAATATATTAAAATTAATCTGGGGGCTGGACAGATGTAGGTAGATGTAGGTAGACAGACTGGAGTGTGTACTTAGCAAGCAGGATGGCCCCCAAAAGATAAAATGAAACAATTGAGGCCCGTCCAGGGTACACTGGGGGGGGATCTAGCTCTGTGCTTGGGGTTTAGACCCCAGCAGTATTCAGGGGCCCAGACGGAACCAGAGATTGCATCTTCTCCCACCCCCAATTTTTAACCAATTGAGCCTTTTCGCAATTTTTCTCTTTTTCCTTTTTTGCTTTTTGGATCACACCCAGTGATGCTCAGGGGTTACTTGGCTCTGCACTCAGGAGTGACTCCTGGCGGTGCCAATTTCTTTTTTTTGGGGGGAGGGGCATACCTGGTCCTGGTCAGGGGTCACTCCTGGTTTTGTGCTCAGGGGTCACCCCTGGTGGGGCTCGGGTGACCCTACGGGGTGCCAGGGTTTGAACCTGGGCCGGCCCCATGCAGGGCGAGCGCCCTCCCCACTGTGCTCTGGGCCCCTTTCCCAGTTCCACCTTCTAAGCGTGGTACCCGGACATTCTTGGTCTCGGGAGCAACCCCGGGCAGCATCTGTGGAAGATAAGGCGGACATACCTGTTCCACAGGTCATCGTCCTCTCCGCCCCAGCCCCAGAAGGCGTTGGGGAAGCCGTTGATCCTCCGGAACTGCTCCACCGTCAGGCCACTCACGCCTCCAAAGAACTCCGTGTACGGGAGCCTGCGGGGACACTCAGCGTGAGCGGCTGTGCAGGGGACTCGGTCTCTCCAGAAGGGGCTGTTGCATGTCAGGGGTCCGAAGAACAAGGCTGTCCAGGAAACACCTGACACCGTCTCCTCGCGCGGAGAGGCACTGACCCGGGCAGCTGACTGACTTGTGTGGGGCTTGGGCAGTGCTTAGGGGACCGTCCTGTGTGGTGCTGGTGCTGGAACCAGGCTTCGCTGAAGTGGCCACAGGCCAGGCAATCACCTTTTCGCTTTCTCCTGGCTCGTGACCTAGTTGACAGATTTTTGGCGACAGCTTCCTTGAGGCAAAACAGACGGCATCATTTGCCCATCTATTTTCAATTAAAAAAAATGTTTTGTGTGTTTTTGGCCACATCTGGTGATGCTCAGGGGTTACTCCTGGTTCTGCACTCAGGAGTTACTCCTGGCGGTGCTCGGGGGACCATAGGGGATGCTGGGGATCGAACCCGGGTTCGCTATATACAAGGCAAACACTCTCCCCACTGTACTATCGCTCTGGCCCGCCTTTGCTCTTCTTAACGCACACGTCATTCAGGGTTTTCAGTGTTTTTGTGGAACTGTGTGAACAAGATCACAACAAGTAAGCTGGTTTCCACAGTGGCCTCCCCCTGCCATGCCGCCAACCATCCCACAACTCTGTGTCTGCACAGCCGCCTGGCCCAGACCCCTCACACCAGGCTCTCCGGCACAAGCAGTTCCTGGGACAAGTTTCCTGTCTCCTGGGATTGTCCCGGCCACGTGTCTGACACGGGAGGGGGTGCAGCTCAGCATCCAGTCAGGCTTGGCCGCAGGGCAGCAGAGAGCTGAGCCCCCCCACGGGCCGTCCCCGCCATCCTTGAAGCCTTCTCCTCTGTGCTAAGGCCCCGGGCGACACTCACAGGTACATGTATTTATCCAGCTTCGTGGCAAAGTGCCGTGGCATCTGTCCGCAGCCGTAATAGTTCCGGTCGCTCTCGGGGATGTGGTCCACGTCGTGGAAGATGAGGCAGTCCCAGTCCAGGTCCTTCATGGCCTCCCGGAAGCCGACGTTGAAGAGCATGGCTCGGTTAAACGGCTGGGTGCCCGCCTGCGGGGAGGAGAAGCTTGTTTCAAAAAACGGCTTCCCGGGCTGGAGCGATGGCTAGCACAGCGGGGAAGGTGTCTGTTTGCCTGGCACGTGGCCGACCCGGGTTCGATCCCCAGCATCCCGTAGGGTCCCCCGAGCACCGCCAGGGGTAATTCCTGAGTGCAGAGCCAGGAGGAACCCCGAAGCATCACCGCATGTGACCCAAAAAGAACAACAAGAAAAGAACCCGCCTTCCTGGGCTGAGAATCTCAGGGACGCAGGCCTGCACACTGGCCCTCTCGGCCCAGATCTGCAGCCCTGAGTTCTTGGGCTCTGCGCTCAGGCCATCGCCACGTTACGGAGAACAGCCAGAAAGAACGGACAATTCGCAGCTCCTTCCGAGAGAGTTCCCAGGACCTGGAGCCAGGATGCGGCCCCCCAAAGCAGCACTGTGGTCCCCCCGGCAGTGGCGACATGTGCTGGGCGGGCTCGGCCCGGGGTCCAGGCCGCCCCGGGCGGGGGGGGGATGGACGAAGGGACACGCACCTGCTCGACCACGTAGAAGGCGAAACGCAGGCGCTGGCGCTGGAGCATGGGGATGAGGTGCCGGAGCAGCACTGGCAGGTGCTCGTGCCGGTTCCGGAAGGGGATGAGGATCGCCACCTGCAGGGGACAGGCCACCAGGTCGGCGCGGGTTGGCCTGAGACTCGCCTGGGCTCGGCTCTTCCCGGCCAGGACGCACACATGCAAGTGGAGCCCCTCCGACCACACTTCCCGGAGCCCAGGCCACCAGTAACGCCACGGAGACGTGTCCCACGGCAGGGCTTGGCCCTTCGGAACCCGCGTCACGGCCCGGTGGTGGGTGGGAGACGCAGAGCTCAGTTCCAGCTGTGCTGGAGCGCTAGCCCTGGGTCCAGCCGTGTCCTCCAGGGCTGGCCAGCACACGAGGAACACTCGGGACAGGAATGGCCGGGGCCGCTCTGACAAGCTCCATCCACGACCGCGTCTCCTCACGATAACTCACTCACGTGGCATGGCCACGACTGCATCTCCTCACAAGAATCGCTCAAGTGGCATGTCCATCACTGTGTCTCTCGTGAGACTGACTCACGTGGCAGGGCCACGACTGTGCCTCCTCACAAGACTGAAATGGCCAGGCCCTGCTCAACATCTCAGGGTGGACGAGGGAGAGCACAGATGCTTGTCGCACTCAGGGGGGCAGGGAGTGCTCAGGGTGTCTGAGAATGGCCTCTGTGTCACAAGGTCCCCTCCCCAGCCCTGTGCCCGGCTGACATTCCGGAAGGCCAAAGCCTCCTGTCCAGTTGCCGGAAGGGGGACGGTGTCCACTGCGAGCTGGGCCTGGCAGGTGTTTCCGGGCCACACCCACCTTCCACCGAGGCACGCAGTCTGAAGGGTTCCAGTGGCCGCCCAGCTTGATGGTGGGGTCTCGGGAGAAGAGCTGGTGGACGGCGTCCATCCCGATGTCACTCATGTTGATGTCTATGGGGCCCTCTGAACAGGGAGGGGAAGGCGTGAAAAGACTGGAAATGACCATCCCCCGCAGTGCCCAGGACTTGTTCTGCGGACTGTGCCCCGAGCACAACCAGGACCAGGGTGGGGTCTGGGGGGCACCTCATGTCTGCTTTCCCCTCCCGGCCTGGTGCAGTCACAGGGGGCCAACGGGAATGTCTCAGGGCCCCAAGGCAGGAAAGGAAATCGGGGCGAGGGAGGGTGGCCACCGTGCTTACAGCAGCAGAAGGCGGCCCAGGGCGCATGCCGGGCACGCGGGAGACACACGGTCTGTTCCATCACCAGGATCCCCAGGGGTGAGTGTGCTAGCCTGACCCAGGAGTGGGCTGTCTGGACACCCCCAGATCCAGAGGGGCCTGGCCCTGTGGCACTGCCTTAGAGCTGCCGTGAAATAAATGGTGGAAGGAAGACAGAAAAGAAATGAAGGGAGGGAGGGAGGTTGGGTGGGAAGGAGGGAAGAAGGGAAGGAAAGAAGAGAGGGAGGAAGGAAGGAGGGTTTTTCGTTTCCTTTTGGTTCGGGGGCATCACGGCAATGCTCGGGACTCACTCCTGGCTTAGAGCTGAGGCATCGCTCCTGGCAGTGGCCAGGGGGACCATAAGGGATGCTGCGCTTGAACTTGTGGGCCAGCCACACGCGAGGAAGACGCCCTCTGCACTGTACTATCGCTCCGGGCCCTGGGAGTGAGTTTGTTTGTTTTGAACCTGTCCCCGTCTCTCATAATAACCTGGGTTAGAATCACCGGAATCGATGCTTTCTAAAAGGCAAAACGTGGGGCTGGAGCAACAGCACAGCGGGGCCTTGCACGCGGCCGACCCGGGTTCGATTCCCAGCATCCCATGGGGTCCCCTGAGCAATGCCAAGAGTAATTACTGAGTGCAGAGTCAGGGGTAACTCCTGTGCATCACCGGGTGTGAGCCAAAAAGCTAAATAAATAAATAAATAAAAGGCCAAAAGTGGGGGTCCTACTTTCTCAGGGACGGCCGTACAGATCCCAGGTCGCCAAGAGGGGTGCGAGCTGAGAAGAGAGGCGGGCAGCGGGCCTGGCAGCCGGAGAAGGCGGGGGGCAGGGTGGGGGCACTCACTCATGGAAGGGAGCCTCTCCGGGCAGGTGCTGTTGGCCAGGTAGGTGAAGTCCTCGGGGAGGAAGGTGGTGGTCTGCAGGAAGCTCTCGCTGTGGTTCAGGTCGAGAGGATAATCTGGGGAGGGGAGAACACGCCAGGCTCAGCCCCGCGACGCCCACGCTGGCCTGCGCTCCGGCCACCAGCTCTCTTCGCCTCTGTCCCCCGGGCCACAGCGATGGCACTCAGAGGCCTCTCGGGCCCTGCGTATGTCCAGCGCTGGCCCATCCACCCTCACTGCCCTTCCTGTTCAGAGCCGGATAATCACCCCGGGAGTGCGGGACTCGCTGCACCCTCTGCCGTTAGCCTGTGGGCGGCCCTGTGGCCCTGTGCCAGGCTCAGTCACTGCATCTTTTGCTGTGTGTGTGTGTGTGTGTGTGTGTGTGTGGTATCCCTGGCAGTGCTCAGGGCTTACTCCTGGCTCAGTGCTCGGGGCCCTGATAGACTCTGGTCTGTCCCGTGCAAGGCTAGACTGATGTGTGGTACTTCCTCCAGCTTCTCTGCTCCATCTTTTCATCCCCTCCCCCTTGCCTTCACGAGGCCATGCAGTATCCCTCCTTCCCTGTCTTGGGTAGGCCCGGCTCAGGAAGTGCGGCTTCCACGCTTCCTCCCTCCCAGTACCCTGAGGCCTGGCTCTGCCCAGATGGTCCTGGCTCAGCACAGGCCCTGTCCCGGTTCCTCCTCCAGACACTCCCCAGCTTGTGCTGAAGTTTTTCTTCCTGCAGACCCGGCCTCCTGGGCCCTGCTGCAACCCCTCGGGCCTCCCTCTGCCCACTTCAGACACCCCTCTCTTCTCCAGCACGCACCCCCCCAAGCATTTCCTGCCAGGAGCCGGGGTTGCAGGGACAGGAACTGGGAATCCCGTCCCGAGGGGCTGCCACTCCCTTGCGCAGAAGCTGCCGGGTAGCTTCCCATCTGTGAGGGCTGGGCCGGCCGTTATCTCAGTTTCCCATCACCGCACTTGGGGACCAGAAACTTCCTTCTTGAAGCGTGGAGAGTCTTATCTTTGTTACGGACGCTTCGCAGACCTGGCTCTGAGCTCAGAGATCACTCTGATGGTTCCCAGGGGACCGGAGGTGGTGCCAGGGTGAACCCAGGGCAGCCACTCTGTGGGCTCTCGGGGTCTCTGAAGCCTGTGGTCAGAATTCATCTGCCCTGGGCTGGAGCTATAGCACAACGTGTTTGCCTTGCACATGGCCAACCCAGGTTCGATTCCCAGCATCCCATATGGTCACCTGAGCACCGCCAGGGATAATTCCTGAGTGCATGAGCCAGGAGAAACCCCTGAGCATCGCCGGGTATGACCCCCAAAAAATAAAGAAAAAAAAAAAGAATTCATCTGCCCTCCAATCTCTTGGCCCTGTTCCTTTCTTATTCCTTTCTTCCCTCTCCCTTCGTGGGACCCCTGAGCACAGAGCTGGGAGCAGCCCCTGAGCTTGGCCGGGTGTGACCCCAGCACACAAACAAAAGAAACGGGAGAGAGGAGCCGTGTACACAGCCACACGGCGGCTCCGTGGCGGACCCGGCTCCGTCCCCCAGGATTCAAACCTCGCGCTAGTCCCTTTGGATTCACGCTGATTCTGTGGAAACGGAAACTTCCTGTTCAACCTTCCTCTGCACTCTGGAATTCAAAAATCTTCACCTCAGAGGCCTTTCAGGAAGCACCTGGAGAAGGCTTCCAAGAACCCTACCCAGGGGCTGGAGCAACAGTGTGGCAGGCAGGGCCACGGCCTGGCACAAGGCAGCCTGGGGTCCAGCCGCAGCACCCCTATGTGGTCCCCCCGAGCACTGCCCGTGATGAATGCAGAGGCAGGAGCAAGCCCTGAGCATGGCCAGGCAGCACCCAAACTTTAAAAGAAAAGGGAAAAAAAGCGGGGGGGGGGGGGGGCAGGTATCAAACAAAGGTTGGCTGCATGCAAAGTTAACCCCTGTACTCTGTCTCCAGCCCTAAATAAACTCAACTAGTTTCCTTCCAAACAGCGTTCCTTTGTGCTTGGAACGCGCCTGTACTTGGATTCCCAAGCGTATAATCTTAATCAACCACCCGCAGGTTATTTCTCTGACTTGCACTCAAACTCCTTCCTGAGAGGGTCAAAGGGACCGTCTGGTTTCTGGATGCGGGCCCGAAGGCCAGAGCTGGACGAACAGTCTCCAAGTGGCTGAACAGAAAAGCAAAGCCCCCCCCCCACCTGAAAGGGGACGGACACATCACACAGACACACAGACCTAACGACACCATCAGCGGGACGTGATGTCACCCTCAAGCACACGCATGGCGAGGGCAGCGGGGCCAGGGCACACTTCCTCGTGTCCAAAGACAACAGCCCTGCAGGGGATCAGGGGCCCGAGTCGCTCGCGGTGGGTCCCTACCAGGTGCCGCTCTGTGACCATCTCACCAGAACACCCCCCAAGGGCACGCGGGCACCAGGGATGTTCCAGTGGGGTGGCCGTCAGGCCAGAGGGACAGCCCGAGCTGGCACTATTAGCCAAGGTCACCGCCCAAGTCCTTCCTGGGGGCGTGGCCGGAGCCTGGCCTGGGTCAGGAGGGTCCATACTCAGCATCCTCTCTGTGCTGGGGGCCACGCGGTGTGGAGGTCAAAGCATGCATGAAGCCGTGAGCTCTCGGGGCCTGACTCATGAATTCTAACCCCCATTCGGTGCCTTCTTTTACCTTCTCAGGGACAAGGCTCCAAACCAGGGACCAAATGGGACACCAGAAACGCCTCTGTCCCCGAAACCAGCAGGTCCGACAGCCCCTCTCAAACATCTCTTGGTGGGGAGAAAGGACCAGGTTTCTCGCACCCAGCCCTGCCAGCCCTACTGACAACAGCCCCTGGGCCATTGTGTGTAGCTGGGGGCAGGTGTTGGGGCGTCACATGTCCCAGCGACTCCCCCTGTGAGCGGCAGGCGTGACGGAGTGTCTGCCAGTGAGGCCCCTGGGAACCAGTGAGGCCCAGGCAGCGTCGCAGAACCTGGCGGCCACAAGAGGCCTTGGGCCCCTCCGAGCGCACCCCCTGCTCCCTGCCAGCAAGGAGAGGCCAAGTCCGGCCAACCCTACTCCCTTCGGCGCTGCTGGGCTAAGCTAGCCGTGGCTGGTTCCCTCCAGAACTTCGCTCCCTCCCTCTTCAGATCCCAACGCCCAGAGCAACTTCACCTTCTGGGGCGGGCTTCGGACCATCTCTGTACTCAGAACAAGTCAGATTTGCGGGAAAGGATGTTTTTGAAAACATGCCTTGTGTCAGGGCCGAGGGGGGAGGGGGAGGTCACACCAGGGGAGCAGGTGGGGCGTGGGTGGGGCACATGCTCGGCACCTGGACGGTCCTGGTCACTGCTGGGTGTGGCTCCCAGATTAAGAAAAAAAAAATTAATTAAAATATACTTATTTTAATGCTTCCTCACTGTGTGCCAACAGTGATCAGCAGTGCTGAATGCTACTAATCAGCACCATCAGGAAGAGGTCACTGGAAACACGTTAGTCTTCAGTTAAAGAAGTAACAGACAAACCACAAATGTTGGGCCAGATAAAATCTCGGGATCTAGGGGCTGGAGCGATAGCACAGCGGGTCGGGCGTTTGCCTTGCATGCGGCCAACCTGAGTTCGATTCCCAGTATCCCATATGGTCCCCTGAGCGCCACCAGGAGTAATTCCTGAGTGCAGAGCCAGGAGTAACCCCTGTGCATTTTGCCGGGTGTAACCCAAAAAAGCGAAAAAAAAAAAAGTCTCGGGATCTATTTTTAAAACAGAAGTCAGGGCAGGCCTGGGTCACCACCTGGAATGCACTGCCTCGGTTCCATTTTGGGAAGAGGGCATGTTTAAAAAGAGAGAAGGGCTGGAGCGAGAGCACAGCGGGGAGGGCGTTTGCCTTGCAGAAAGCAAGCACTCTGTAGCACTCTCCTCCTGCTGTTCGTCGATTTGCTCGAGCGGGCCCAGTAACGTCTCCATGGCGAGACTTGTTGTGACTGTGTTTGGCAGATGGAATACATCACAGGGAGCTTGCCAGGCTTTGCCGTGCGGGCGAGATACTCTCGGTAGCCTGCTGGGCTCTCGGAGAGGGGCGGAGGAATCGAACCCGGCTCGGCCGGCCGGCTGCGTGCAAGGCAAATGCCCTGCCGCTGTGCTATCACTCCTGGATGGCTCAGTGGGACCATTGCCCCAAAAAAGCAAAAAAAAAAAGAGAGAGAGAAAAGAGAGCAAGATAGAGACGTTGGGGCCAGAGTGATAGCACCGTGGGGAAGGTCTCGCTTTGCACGCAGATGGCCCAGGGTTCGACCCCCGGCAACCTTATGGGGTCCCCCAAGCACTGCCAGGTCTGATCCTCGAATGCAGAGCCAGGAGCAAGCAAGCCCCGAACATCTCATGGTGTGGCCCCAAATCCGAAATAAATGACATTTCCCCTCCCCCCAGGCTCCAAACCAAACTCCCCTCTCCCGGGAGGTCCGGAGCCAGTGCCTGTGTCCCCGGAGCCCACCTGAGTCGTTGGCGCTGCTGTTCCGCCGGGCGTACGCGCTGCGCAGCACCTGCTCGTACACCTGCGCGCCGATCGTCTTGACGTTGTCTCGGAGCAAGATGCCCTGAGCCTGCATCATGAAGAGGTAGGTGTTCACTGCAAACGACAGCGAGGGGGGAAGTGGTGAACTCACACGCAGCCGCTGGACCCACACGAAAGGGGTCCGGTGGCACGGCGCAGCGGGGCAGATCCGGCCGACCGGGGTTCGATTTCGGAAACCCCATATACCAACCAGGTCCCCCAGAGTCTCCAGTGAGCCCAGAGCACCGCAAAGAAAAGAAAACACACAAGCCCGATAAAAGTCACATAACTGGGGAGCTGGAGAGATAGTACAGCAGGGAGGGCATGTGCCTTGCATGCAGCCGACCCGGGTTCGATTCCCGGCATCCCATATGGTCGTCCGAGCACCGCTGGGAATAATTCCTGAGTGCAGAGCCAGGAGTCAGCCCTGAGCATCACTGGGTGTGTGTCCCCCCCCCCCAAAAAAAGTCACGTAATTCAAGTTTATTTTTTTAAACCACCTAAGTTCTACAAATGTCTGAGTGCAGTTTTCCGTTCTGAGGTCGCACGCCTCAGGTCACGAGGATGCGTCGGGGGAAGGGGGGGTGTCCTCCCCGTTAATTTTCTGTAGTTTTGGAAAAAATGATAATTTAGACCTTAGGATAAATTCTATCCGTAGTCTATCTGGCACGATCCCCACTAAATTCACCTTCTCAAAATCAACGACGAGACTCAGCGGCGGAAACCCTTCTGTCTAGGCCGGGGCTGGGGAGAGACAGGCTACTACAGCGCCTGTCCCTTTTTATTCTTGAGGCGGTGGTTGGAGAGAGGATCGAAGGACACGGCTGCAGGACTCAGCCCTGCCCAGCTCAGCCCCAAAGTTCACAGCAATGAGGAAGGGGCGGGGGCCGTAGAGGCCCAAGTGTCAATCAAACCTCCCCTAACAAACTGGGGCCAAAGCTACAGGGCAGTGGGCAGGACCTCTGCCTTAACGCGGCTGACCTGGGTTCGACACCCCCCTCCCAACCAGGAGTGATTCCTGAGCTCAGAGCCAGGAGTCAGCCCTGAGCACGGCCTCGTGTGGCCCCCAACCACACTTCAGCAACCGCCCCATCGTCTGTGCGATTCCTGTAACGCGAGGGCAGCTACCTGCGAGCAGGCGGCGGTTGAAAGGCACAGCCTCTGACCAGCACTGCGGTGACTTATCCTCCCCTGCCGGCGGGCAGAGAAGTGGGCACGGAGCTGCCAACATCTGAGCCCCTGGCTGAGCTCCAACCCCGCCCCGGGCAGGTTGGACCGTGACCTGCTCCCCGACAGGCAGAATACACTGGCCCCGGGCGAGCCCTTCTGGCACCCTGACAGGCTCACTTGGTGGTGACAGTTTCCCCATGACTCGCGGTGTCCTGCAGTGAGCAGGGACCAAACGGATGGCGGGGGAGTCGGTGTGCTCGAAGCCACTGTGTCTGCTGTTTATCCCCCTGCTGGTGATGTGCTCCCTGGTGCAAACCCCATCAGCATCACAGGGCCTTCCAGCCCCCTCCCCAAACCATCCGGGCAGCTCCCCACACTCCCCCAATCTCTGTGCTTTTCCGCTTGGGGGGAGCGGGGCAGAGGCTCCCTACCCACGGTGGGGAGGGGGCCGGGGCGGCTTCTCTGGGGGGGTTCTCACGCGCTTCCCTTCTGGGCGCTACAGAGCTCTGCAAACTTTCTAGAGAACTCTTGACTCCGTGAGGGTGGACAAGGAAGGTGCAGCTGTCCCCCCCACCCACCCCTGTGAGGACACTCGGGGGCTGGTCTCAACGGGTGCCAAAAATCAGGTGGGAAATGGTTCCAGGAGACTTCTGCTCTGTGCTGAATGCACACAGAAAACACAGTCTGTGCAGCTGGTGGCCTGGGTCAAAGCGCAGACCTTCCAGGGCCCTCTGGAACCTGGCTGCTCAATCCAGCCCCTGGTCTGGCTCCCCCCTGTGCCAACCCAAACGCAGGGCCATCAGAACCATTGCATTAAAAATTCTCTCATGGGGCCGGAGTGATAGCACAGCGGGGAGGGCGTTTGCCTTGCACGCAGTCAACCCAGGTTCGATTCCCAGCATCCCATCTGGTCCCCTGAGCACCGCCAGGAGTGATTCCTGAGTGCAGAGCCAGGAGTAAGCCCTGAGCATCACTAGGTGTGACAGACAGACAGACAGACAGACAGACAGACAGACAGAAAGTAAGTTCTCATCTCCATGAAGCAGAGTCCCTTTTCCTTTCTTCGCTAAAGAAAGCAAGAGCCCCAGAAGCCCTGTCTCGGGGCTCACTGGCCCAAGGTCATGGTGAGTGAAACAAAAACAGAGAAGGTGAGACATTCTAGAACATTCTGACGGACTCTGCCACCAAACGCAGGCCCTTCCAACGAGGCGTGTTTCTTGACCCATAAGCGCTGAATCGCAGTTGGTGTTGTTTTAAAGCTACACTTCAACCGGCTGGGAGTTCTGTGGGGTGCCCACAGGATCCAACTTCCTGGAGCCCTTCAGGTGCGTGACGTGGAACCACACAATCCCAAGGGCAGCAAGAAGACACGGGAGGGACCGAAAGCTCTGAACCATTTCCTGTCGGTCCAGGCTGAGGACCAGCCACTCTCTTACAAGCTGACGAGAGAAACGGGATTATCCTCCGGCCCCCGTAGGAGGGTCTCTCCGGCCCATGACGCGGGGGAGGACTAAGTCCACGCTGGCTCACACCTCGGAAATGCCCATCCAGACGCCCGCCGTTAGCAGCCCGGTGTTTTCAGGAGCAAAGGCTGGGGGTCCCTACTCGGGAACCCCTGTGGGCCACATGGCAGAGCCTCCTACCAGGAAGACCCCAACATCCTCCTTCCCATTAGAACTCCGGCCAGCCCAGGGCCCCGTGAGTCAGCCACGCCATTTTCACTTGAACACACACATTAATGAATGACTCTGACTCATAAGAATTCCTCAGGAGGTAATGAGCCGGCAGTCCACATCAGCGGCAGGACCGGCTGTCACGCTGGCCCCAGGAGGACAGCCGGGACAGAAGCCAGGGTCCCCTGCCCTAAACACGGTGTTCTCCGGGCTAGAAGGAGCTGGGAAAACAATGCCAGCTCGCTCCTGTCCACGCTCTTCATTTTCTGTTCTGTTGTGGGGTCACGTCCGGCGGTGCTCAGGACCTACTCCTGGCTCTGTGCTCAGCAGTCACTCCTGGTGGGGCCGGCAGGGCCATACGGGGTGCCGGGGGCTGAACCCGGGTTGGCTGCCACTTCCTCTTTCGCTGGGACATTTTGGGGGTGTTCTGTAGGCTCCGACAGAATTCAGCCCGCCTAAGGGCAGGGATGCGGCTACCCTCCACTGCCCCTGGTGCCCACTGGGATAGTGCCTGGGGCCCAGAAGATGCAGGAAGCACACGTGTGGGCACCCTGGGCTGTGCCTGCCACCCAACAACAGAGATGGGACCCACCAAGTCCGGTGGGCCGAGGCTGCACGGGTGCCGCTTGGTCAGGAAGGGAACCTGGTTGCTGTTAGCAGCCCCGTGTCACCAGCAGACACGCTGCCTGGGTTTCCTCGTTTTCTCTCCATCTTTCTCAGCACGCGTCAGGCAAGCGTGGGAGAAGAACCGAAGCCCCTCCCAAGGACACCAACCACAGGACTGCACGTCTACACGGACAGAGAATAGCAGGGAAGGGGAGAAAATAAGAAGGAACCGTTCAAAATAGCCCAAACCTGGGGATGGAGCGATAGCACATCTGGCAGGGCGTTTGCTATGCACGCGGCCGACCTGGGGTTCGAGTCCCAGCATCCCATAGGGTCCCCTGAGCACCGCCAGGAGTAACTCCTGAGTGCAGAGCCAGGAGGAACCCCTGAGCATCGCCAGGTGTGACCCAAAAAGCAAAATAAAAATAAATAAAAATAAAAACCCACCCAAAACTTACACACATTGTATTCAAATGTGCTGGAGCAAATGTATGATGATTTTCACATAGAAAGTGTTTTTAAAAACCTCTACTGGGGGGCTGGAGCAGGAAGGGTGCTTACTTGCCTTGCACACGGTCAACCTGGGTCTGATCTGACATCCCGCTTGGTTCCCTAAGCACCACCAGGAGTGATCCCTGATTGCAGAGCCAGAGTAAGACCCAAACATCACCAGGTGTAACCCAAACCTTCCTCCCTCCAGGAAAAAAAAAAAAATCTCTACTGAGGTCCGGGGGAGGAGACACATGAAAAGCAAAGAATTCCAAAAATTATTTTGGAGGACAAGCATTTGATGAATCACCTCCCTTCCCAGCCCTTCCCCGTCGGGCAGCCGGGCCAAATTCATGCCCCTTCTTCCCGCCTTCCACTCTCCCCAGCCAGGAAAACAAAAGCCGGAGTGGCAAAAATTAACCATCAGTAAGTGCCCTGAAGCCATTTCCACCGACCCGATCGCTTATTATCTGTTAAATTATTAAGCTGTACATGAAGATTAGAGGTGGGGAACGCCGAGTTAACAGATAGTAACTAGTTGAGGGGTGGACGGCTGATGGATCACTTAACCGATCGAAGCTGCTGCTCTCTGCCCCCGATTCTGTGTGGCGTGCGGATCAATCACCTGCCTCCCGCAGCGAATACCCCGAGAAGGGGGCCAGCATTTACTGGAGGGAAGCGTAATGTATGTGTAGGCGATTGTTCTGTGTATGTATGAATCTCGTCACAGTTTTTAAGAATTCCACTGGTGAGGCTGAGCTTATCAAACACAACCGCGGCGGTTCTGCCCGGGAACTTCTGCTGTCCACCAAAGGCTGCTGCCACACGTCCTCGAGGCCCCACTGCCTGGAAGCCTTCTGAGGGCTTCTGAGAACTGGGTTATCTCGGATCCCAAGAGTGCAGGTTCTGGTGAGGGTTCTGGCGTCCACCTGCTCTCAGGGGACGGTGCAAAGCAGGTGGGTGGGGGCTGGGAGCACCCGCCTGAAGCTCTTCCTTGTAAAGAAGAGGTACCACACCCGTGCCTGCAAGGTGCCCACGAGCTTGCCAAGGCTCGCGCTGCAGAGGGTGGGGCTGACTTCCCGTCTCAGGTGCTGCTGTCACACCTGCCCCCCCGGCGTCCTAAGCGGGAAGGCGTCC